TTGCAAAGAGTGGTCGCATTTTTATTTACAGAATTGCAGCAAGCCTTTTCTCAGATCTTTGGTTGATTTTGCAGGTGCTCAGAAAGATCTGATAACTGTCTAGCTGAATTCCAGGGACCAGACAAAAATAGGATCCCCTACTCCTCTGCCATCTTAACTTCTCTTCTGAAAAAACTCTAATTTACATGAAAAACATCTTGGTGTAAATAGTATCTTCACTCAGTTCTACTTGCTATTGTCTTTAAAGCTGAAGAAACAAATCCAAATTTATAAGGCTACCATGCTATCAAAGGAATCTCTTTAAGAGGGTTGTTTCTTAAACGTCCCAGGAGTTTCTTGGCACAGCTCAGCCTACTGTGCTTTCACTGGCTGGGGTTCTGTAAGTTTTTATATTCGATATAAGTCATCCATCTCACTCATATCTTGAAAAATTTCCAAATGCATTGGAAGCATGGAGATCAATTTAGACATTTTTAAGTGAAGTGGGAACTGAATAAAGTAGAAATAATTTATAAAGAAGTGAGGCTATTTCTGATATTTATTTTTTAAAATTGGAAAATGATGCTGAGTTTCTTAACAGAGACTTGTGATGTCTAAAAGCTCTATCAAAAGTATGTTTAGGTTCCAAGTGAACTCTTTCAAAGAATTAACAGCCACAGTTTGGGGGTACCAATCCAATAAAAAACAAAATATCTGCCCTTCCCTCCCTAAAGTCAACAAAGAGACAGGCATGGATTTATTCAATTATAGCCCATTCTGAGTGACATTTGTTGCTTTACATAAATGAGACTCTATTTTTCTTATAGACTAAGGCTAGTAGGATAAATAGAACTTCCACTTTCCTTGCTCACTGTAGACTTTTTATAGACTTTAAAGATTTTTATTTATTTATTTGATAGAGAGAGAGAGATCACAAGTAGGCAGAGAGGCAGGCAGAGAGAGAGGAAGGGAAGCAGGCTCCTTGCTGAGCAGAGAGCCCAATGTGGGGCTTGATCACAGGACCCTGGGATCATGACCTGAGCCGAAGGCAGAGGCTTTAACCCACTAATCCACCCAGGTGCCCTGACTTTTTATAGACTTTAAAACAAAAAACAAAAACAATGAAACAAACCTTGAACCTACTTTACTTAGTACAATTTCTAGTAACTTATTGTCAGTCAGAGTTTGGAGAGTTTGTTTTTCTTTCTTTCTTTCTTTTTGGCGCTTATTGGTAGCAGTCAGGGACAAACACTTCTAGAAAAATTAGGAGGCAATAATAAGTAGTGTTTTTTCTTTTTTCTTTGAAGTTTTCACTTAAATTCTAGTTAGTTAACATATAGTATAATATTAGTTTCATGAGTAGAACTTAGTGATTCACCATTTACATATAATGCCTGGTGCTCATCACAAGTGCCCTCCTTAATACCCATCAGCCATTTAGTGAATTCCCCTGCCCACTCCCCACCAGCAAATCTCAGTTTGTTCTCCATAGTTAAGAGCCTGTTTTCTGGTTTTCTTCTCTTCCCACCCCCCCCATGTTCATCTGTTTTGTTTAATTCCACATATGAGTGAAATCATATGGTACTTGTCTTTCTCTGACTAATTTCACTTAGCATAATACACCCTAGCTCCATCCACAGTGTTGCAAAGGGCAAGACTTCATTCTTTTTGATGGCTGAGTAATATTCCACAGTATGTATATATATATATATATATATATATGTGTGTGTGTGTGTGTGTGTATACAGATACCATATCTTCTTTATCCATTCATTAGTCAATGGACATTTGGGCTCTTTCCATAATTTGGCTATTGTTGATAAGAGAATATTTTTCGGTCACAGAAAGAGCTGTGAATTTGGCCTACCATGAAGAACTGTTGTATTGAAAGCAATCTGGGATATAAACAACTGAAATGCATAAACTTAGGAACAACTCCCAGTGTAATTACTAAAAGCTTAATATTCTAACAAAATACAAGCATTTTTCTTTATCAAGAAAAAAATTTTAAGAATTTTCTGTGTTCTGAAACTTCAGGGAGGCTCTTTTTGCAGAAATAGGTGAAAGCTCATCTCTGACTGTGATTCTTGGTGACAGGATGCAGATGGGATTAAAACTCCCCTTCCTGTCACTGCTCATTTGAGGTTCACACTGAATTACAGAAGGTGCTGTCTGTTCTCACCTGCCTATCAGATCTGATTTCAGGGGACCTACTAAGCTGTCTTAGCAAATTACTTTCTTTGATGTTTATCTTTTATATACAATAATAAAATTTCACTTATTCATTCAACAAATATGTACTGAGCACTCAGTTGCATGCTTCAGAAAGTGAGGACAGAGCAGTAAACAAAATATAAAAAAATGACCAGGGGCACCTAGGTGGCTCAGTGGGTTAAAGCCTCTGCCCTGGGCTCAGGTCATGTTCCCAGGGCCCTGGGATCAAGTTCCGCATCGGGCTCTCTGCTCAGCAGGGAGCCTGCTTCCTCCTTTCTCTCTGCCTCCCTCTCTGTCTACTTGTGATCTCAGTCTGTCAATTAAATAAATAAAATCTTAAAAAAAAGATCAATCACTCTCAAACTCCCTATTCAGGGAATGAGATTAGATTGAATGAGGGAATGAAGCAGTCTGATCAGGGAATGCTGCTGATAAAGCAGAGGACTTCATGCTGTACAAAAGCTCTCTGTACACTCAAGACAAATTCTGGTGGCTGAAAGAATAGCAAAGTGGACTCCACAAGTTATACTACTTCAATTTTAAGTTAATGAAAAATAATTCATTTTTGAAAAAAGGATTACTTTTACAAAAACCTCTTTAGATAGCGTCTACTCTTCTACATTCCTGGTAGACACAGGTTAATGCAGCCTGAGAGACAATCCAATATGCCTAACACAGGATTATGATTTTAATGAGCCAGGGGCTGCAGGATACAATCTTTAGGTTCTTTGAGGTGATAATGTGATGAAAGCAAGACTTATCCCCACAAAGTTTGGTTTAGGTTCTATGTCATTAAGTGAAAATGCTGCTCTTGTTAGGTTACATTTTTGGAAAAGAGGTACCACAGTATGTTAAAAATTAAGGAGTGCTTTTAGCAGTGACAACCTTTCCATGGTCTTGGAGCCACCCCCACTTCCTGGAACAGGCTCTTAGACTTCCAAGTCAAGGGCTCAAAGTAAGTTGTTGAGTGCTAGAAACAGGGGACTGAGGTGTTGGGAAATTTAATTAGCATGTGTGAAAATAAAAGGGTCTATAGCTTGAAAGCCACTCCAGAAGTGTGAAGAATTATGACTGCTTTTTGAGATACTCCCATTTCTCAAGAATGAACAAGCCTGGGGAAAGAAAGATGAGCTGCTTAGGTTTTTTGTTTGTTTTTTAAAAAATGTTTTTCAAGTCTTTTGCTCGTGAGGTTGATGTGGAGAAAAAGGGCAAAAGAAATGTAGATAAAATTAAACTTCCTTGTAACCTGCAGCCCATTGACAAAAGACTTGAGACAAACAGAGAATGACATTCCTCCAAGAAACACCCAACTGTCTTAATTTTAATGCTTTGTTGGAGGTAAAAACCTTAGCTTGAAAATAGAGACAGTGGGTAGAAATGTGACTAAGATACATGGAGGCTGTTGTGAAAAGACCAGTGTGGTAGAAACATAGAAAGAACTCAAATCCTCTTAAATTAAGGATTAGGACTTTATTAATGAGACAAATTGTGGGGGTAGTTGTAGAGGAAAATCAAGGCAGCCGCTGAAGAGAGGAATGCCACTTGATGTGGGAAGTAAAGGCAGAAGAAAAATTATTAAATTTTTATTAAATTTCCTTACTACCTGCAGCCAATTGACAGGTCCTTGAAAAAGGCAGAGTGACATTTCTCTAACTGCCTCAATGTTAATATTTTGCTAAGGGCAACAGGTAATCTTAGCCCAACCCCCAGGATCCTGTAAATCTACTTTAACATGTAAAAATTCCTTTGGAAACTTCATCTCTACCCATCAAGATATATGTTGGCAATCATCCCCCAAGCATATGGCCCACCGATATACATCTAAAGGGTCTCATGACTCAGGTTTTACTAGATGGTAATAAGTGACCTTTTCCCAACAATAGGTAGCCCCTCAAGGTCCTGGAAACCTTGCCTCCAACACTCCTTAGAGACTTACAGTATCTCTTAAAACCCTCACAACTTGAAAGTATATGATGGACCACTCCTCATGACCCCAGTGCAGCTTTTTCTGCCCATGGGTCCTATCCCTGTGCTTTAATAAAACCACCGTTTTGCAACAAAGATGTCTCAAGAATTCTTTCTTGGTCGTTGGCTTTGATCCCTAAAGTTCTTTCCTACAACAACACTGTCTAACGGGAAAAAATGTAGCCAAAGCTAACATTTGCTATATATACTGCTTTCAACTTGGTTTTACATTTCTCACCTTTCCAGAGATTATAGATCCTCCCCATTCTTTTTAATAACCACACTTGTTATATATAGTACATGGATGGATGTGCCACAATTGATCTATTTATTAATCTCCTTCTGAAGGATACAGGTGGAGAGAGGAAAAATGCATCAGTGTTGCTGAACAGCAAGAATAGGCATGAAGAAGATAATGTTTCATGTCACCCTGTAGCTCATTCCCTTCACTATGGTTTTTTTGTTTTGTTTTTGTTTTTGTTTTTGACTCAAACTCTGCTGGAAGAGATACAGACACAGGGAAAGCAGCCATCCATTCTGGTGTGTCCATCTACTGTTGTTTTTTCTCACAGCAGGCACACATTAGCTTAACCAAGCAGGCCATTTGCTTTTAAGCACATAAACTGACAGTTATTTTTTTTTTTTTATGTTTGTTGGATACTTATATAGGATCCTGAACACGAGGGGGGCTGCCATGATCTAGACCATGCCTGCAGCTCCCAAGTTAGAGTCAGGGTTGAGGTACACTTCCTATAGCACGGCAGCTGAAAAAAAAACTGCCTCATGGAAAAATCATAAAATAACTTAGATATAGGCATTTATTACATTTAGGTTCGACATACCTCAAACTCCAGATAGTGATCTTTCAGTCTGTATTCATCTATCTCCTTGGCTTTAACTTTCTTGTCTGGGGGATATGAGCGGTGCTCAGCCAGCTCAGTGGTAATCTGCTTCAGCTTGCTTTCATGAGATTTCAGCTGTTCCTCCTGCAGGAAATTATTAAGCTATTTAGCATCCAGAAAGTAAATCAATTAAAAAAAAATCACAGAGTACTTTTTAAGATCCCTTATGATGAATGACTTCAATTCATCAAAACAGTTCAATGTACCTCCACTGCCACATCTTACCAACCTTCTCAGACTAGTATTCACATGTACATTTGCAAAATGACAACCGGGCCCCTTGTTACAAAACCAAATACTTTCAGAGCCAAATACTTTCAAACCAAATACTTTCAAATGTAGCTGTCATGAAGTTGAGAACAGACTTCCTAAGAAATACTTCAAAAGGCAAGGCACCAGTTAAGCACCCATCCTCAGAATCCTGCATAATTTGGCTTTTCCATTTCCTGTCCACTCAGCAATGCTGCTATTTCCCCATCTGTCACAGTGAATTTACAGCCTTTCTGCTTAGTTGCCCCCCCACTTTTTAAGAAAGCAATGCCACCAAGAAATAATTCTCTGTAAGCCATCAGATGATACCTTTTTTAAAACAGATTTATTATTTATTTGTCAGAGAGAGAGTGCACACATGAGCAAGCACAAGCAGGGGGAGTGGCAGGCAGAGGGAGAAGCAGGCTCCCTGTGGAGCAAGATGCTGGACGTGGGATTTGACCCCAAGACCCTGCTGGGATCGTGACCTGAGCCGAAGGCAGATGCTTAACCAAAGGAACCACGCAGGCATCCCTTTCAGATGATATTCTAAAAAATGCAGCAATCTATGATTTTTCCCTCCAAAGTAGTAGAGGTTCTGACTTCCTTCAAAATCTTATTGACCCAAACTAGTGATTCAATTGAATGACCTATAGAGCAATTCTTGCCTGAAAGGTGTTACTATAGGCACCATGCACCAATGCAACATGTTTGATACTATGTCAAAGAACTTCCATTCGAGGGGCACCATTTTTATTGCCTTATGATACTATCAACCCCCCTGGGAACATTTTAAAAATGAAACAAAGAGACTGGAATTTTCTTGCATTCCTATAATTGTATGATTGCTTTTTTACTATTCTACTTTCACATATATATTATCCAAATTCATGCTGAATATAAACTTTACATGTACAATAAGATATAAACGGATGAAAGTGAATGAAGAGGAACTGATTAAACTAGGTGATAAATATAGTTTGTATAATAGCAACATTATTTATTTATTTAAAAGAGCAGACAAAAGGGATTTCCGTCCTTTATTAAGTTCATATTTGAGGACATATCAATTTATTGCATGGCATTAAAAACAAATAAACAAAAACAAACAAGATGAGTTTTCCCCTTCTGTTTCTCAAACTCATGGCACCCTAATCACAAGCAGAGTTAAAGGTAAAAAATTAACATGTACAATACATCATCACCACAATTCCCAGTTGAATTTTTTCCATATGGTATTTTTATAAATTAAAATTACTATTTAAATCCAAGATCAGCATACATAGTTGCCAGATGAAGAATTTAAACCATAAAGCAACTGTGTAATAAATCTGTCAATTTAAGCCTATAATTCAAATCTAGAAGAACAATTTAGAGGTGATAAATCCTAATAATTTTAATTTATGATGTGAGGGTATATGTAACTATCTATCTATATAAACATGCCACATTATGAATTTGAGCTCAGGTCATGATGCTGGAGTTTTGGGATTGAGAGCACAAGCAGGGACTGGGCAGGGGCAGGGGAGGAGAGGGACAGAGGGAGAAGGAGAAACGGGTTTTTCACTGAGCAGAGAGCCTGACATGGGGCTCGATCCCAGGACCCTGGGATTATGACCTGAGCCAAAGGAAGATGCTTAATAGACTGAACCATCCCAGAGCCCCTTATTTATTTTAGAGACAAAGAGAGAACAGGGGGAGGGGCAGAGGGAGAGAATCGCAAGCAGACTCCCCGCTAAGCACAGAGCCTGACTTGTGTTTGATCTCACAACCCTAAGTTCATGACCTAAGCTCAAATCAAGAATCTGCCCCTCAACTGACTGAGCAACCCAGGCACCCTATCTAATTCTTTTTCTATGCTACTCCTTTATAAATACAAAGATCCATAAAAATAGAAAATTATGTTCTATAGGTTTTTATACTTCATAGGTTTCCTTTGGTGACTTGTTTTCTCATTCAGCATGTTTCTGAGATTTACTCACATATATGTTCTGGTTTCTTCCTTTTAACTATAGGACACTATATGATATACTATAATTTCACTGAAGGATGTTTAGGCTGTTTTCAGGTGTCTTTAGGCTATTATAAATGATGCTACATTGAACATGCTGCTTAGTGAATATGAGCAAGAATTGTCCTACAGTGTAATCACTAAGATGGAGAATTTTGGGGTTTTAGAATGTCTATCTTTAAGAGGACACTAACATGCTTTTTAAAGTGTTTCCACCAGTTTACATTTCTATAGTAGGCTTAAAAATTCACATTGTTCTGGATCTTTGCCAAAATTTGATATTCACTGAAAACCAGTGTTATTCCAATGGGGAGGAGAGGTAAAGAAGGGAGGGCTCAGACTGTTTCCTTTGTGCTGTTTTAAAATAGGTAGGTGATTTAGAAGGTAATGACATCTCTAAAAATCTTCTGGGAAACTTATAAGACAAATTGCTAAATATTACAGCCTTGAACCCAAGCTATATGGAATTTAGAATAAAGAACAACTGCTTTAACTCAGTTTGAACTCTTTCTGAAGGCGCCATCAGAAAGATTTTATGTTTAAGAGATTTAAAGATTTTTATAAACAGTTTAGTGAGCGTCTGCATTAACTTCAACATGATTTCATTGTTTATTGAGTACTCAATATATGTTAAATACAGATGTCTAAGAAATGAATATAAAATCTATCTATTCTGGAGAAGTGTAGTGAACCATTTAAGGCAATGCCAAGGAGTGTGGACTGCATCTTGTTGGCGAAAGTGAGCCCATTAGTTTTAAGTGATAGTACATGAGTCATATTTTAGCCACAACTGTAAAGGATGGATTAGAGAAAAGCAAGACTGTCGGAACAGAGATCTCAAGTGGTTATGCAAATAATCTGTCAGAGTTTTTCAAAGTGGGTTGTTTGCAACCCAGGCAAGATGATCCACTGGGAAAAAATAAGCCTTGGGATATAATTCACATACCACATAATTTACCCATTTAAAGTGTGTAATTTAGTTAAGTTTTAGTATAGTCACAGGGTTGTGCAACCATCACTACAATTTTATGACATTTTAGCTTCCTATTCCTTTTGGAATGGTATCACACAATGTTTCTTTTTGTGACTGCCTTCTTTCACTTAGTGGAATATTTTCAAGGTTCATCCACTTTGCAGGATGTACCAGTACTTCATTGTGTTTTTTACAACTGAATAATATTCCATTGTATGTATATATCATATTTCATTCATCTATTCACCAGCTGATGGCCATTTCCACCCTTGGTTGCAATGAACATTTGTGTAAAAGATTTTGTGTGGGTTTATGTTTTCATTCTCCTGCTATCTAAGTAGGAGTGGAATTGCTGGGTCACATGTTAACTCTATGTTTAATCATTTGATGAACCACCAAATTATTTTCCAAAGTAGCTACATTATTCTATGTTCCCACCAGCAACATACTGAAGTTGTAATTTCTCCACATCCTCACCAACACATTCTTTTCCTTGAAGTTTTTTTTTTTAAATTATAGCCACTGTAATGAGTATAAAGTGATATCTCCTGATTTTGATTTATGTTTCCCTAATGATTAACATTCCTAATGATTAACACTAACATTTTTCCATCTTGTTGATAACAGGACATGTAGTATATTTTATAAAAATATATACATATGTTGGAGGATATCTGCTCAAATATTTACTATTATATAAGGTGAATGATCAAAAAAGTTAGGAGACCAGTGATATAGGTGAAAGATGACAAAAGTCTGAATTAAGGAATGTGGGTAGGATATGAAAGATATTTAAGATGCAGAAGTGACAGGATTTGTGACTAAAAGTATAAAATGTAGTCAGGCGGGAAGCGTGTGGTTTTGGCCAGTTAGGGACACAGTTACAAGAATGACTTCCTACTCTGAAATTCCACTGCTCCAGATCCCTGCCTGTCGGAGGAGGTCATTGAGATGCATTAGCTGAAAGGCAAGCTGGACCTGAGCAACTGGAGGCTCCTCACCTCCACCTCGTCCATGAAATGTGCATTTGCCTCCCCTTCCCAAGCTAGAAGCTGCCCTAAGGACACAGCCTCAAAATAGTGGTATGTTTTTGAGACCATCTGTATGGTATACAAGACTGAACTCAATTAAGGCCTCTATCTAAACTTCATGATTCTGGCATGTGGGTGCAAAGATTGACTCACCTTGTGGCCACCCAAGACAGGCCTCTTAAGTAAGTTCCCTTGCTTATTAAAACTGCCACCTACCAATTTGAAGTGGTCTCCTTCTTTCTTCTCTTCTTGCCCTCAATGTAGGGGCCAGATTATGAAAGAACCCTGCCACACTCATCTGGTTCTTGGCCATAACTGCCCTAATGGTCAAACCACAGGATAAAAAGAGAGGTGAGAAGCAAGCAGAAGGCTTTCCTTTGTTTCAAATCAGTGTTTATCACAAGGCCTGGCCTTCAACAATTAGCATTTAGTGATCAAACTAATCACTGGTTAGTGATTCAAATAATCATTGATCATTGATTCAGAACTTTACAGGAGAGGGTGGAAATTCAAAGAAGAAAACAGAACTAGATATCAGGAAATGGTAACTCCATAAGGTGCAAGTGAGACAGAGCAGGGATTAGACTTGGGTCTCCCAACCCTGACTGTGAAATCCAGTATTCCTTGCCTTCTCCAAAGGTGAAAAAAAAAAAAAAAAAAAGATAAAACTGTGCTTCTTGAGTAGCACATCTTGCAGGAATGCAGAGGGAGGATGCTTACTGACCAGGAAGATACTTACTACAAGGACTGGTAAAGACCAGACCAAACCAATCTGCACCAAGATGGACCCCAGTGCTGGACTTTTTTGGACTTCTTCCCT